TTTCTTCTCTGTAGCTGAAAAAAGTATTTTCTTTGATTTGAAAGAAAACGCCATGTTCGGCTCCTTCAGCTGTCTTTGCCGCCGAGAACAAGACGACTGCAAATAGGTACTCGACTTGCAGAAACATCTGTCCAGAGAATCCTAAGACAAACTTATGATTAGTAAATGTATGAAACATATAAATTACCTGCCTTCAGACAAAATTGTCTGACAAGACAGAAAGGGAGAGAAATTTTAACCCACCCTTTGATTTTAACAAAAACAGCGCGCGACACGCTCAAACCTTTGTGTATAAGTTTGCACCGTTTAGTACCAAATGTAAATTTATTATTGATTCCGTGATCTTCGTCTGGATTCTATTTTTCTATTTAAGTATAATAATACAGCTTTGACCTTTTGTTTTCTTAGCGATAAGTTTCCAATTACCCCACAACTCCATTTTGACATTTAAATGAAAACACAAGTCCTGCAGGTTTATAATGCAATTATCCCGATATCTAGGTAAACAGAATATGGAAATACCGGAAAGGTTGCGATCAGCTCTTTTATGAAACAGTTCAGTGAAGAAGAAAATAATTTAAAATGCATAAAAAAGAATTGGTGGGAGATAAAATTAAAACTGGACATGAAAACACATCTTTTTTGTTTGAAACACCTGGCAAAGAAAAAGTACTTTTTTGAGTGCAAATGAAAAAGTAAGGCCTGTTTTTGTAGAGATGATTCAATATGTTATTTGTTAACCAGTCCTTTCAACCTGATATTTTTCCTTTTATTTATTGCATTTATTACATATAGTAATACATGTTGGATAATTTTTTCAAGATCGAACAATTATTTTTCACTTGGTTGAGCTCGACTCTCCCACTAGCATCACGTGTAAGCTAATGATCTCCAGAGCAACTATCCAATTGATAGCAAGACCCGCTTCAAGAGAGTAACGGTCCATAGCCTTGGGATTTATTGGATGAAATTTTAAAGCAGTAAAAAAGAAAAATTAACTTT